TGCTCACCAAGGCAGCATTTATTTGTACAAAAATATAGTAAAAACGGTAATATTGTGAAATATTATTATAATTTAAAATAGTTGCTTTCTAAGTGAATATACTGTAAAATGTCATTTATTTCTGTGATCAAAGCTGGATTTTCAGCATCATTACTCCAGTCTTCAGTGTCACATGATCTTCAGAAATCATTCTAATATGCTGATTCGCTGCTCAAGAAACATTTCTGATTATTATCATGCTGAAAACAGTTGCGCTGCTTCATATTTTTGTGGAAACTGTGATAAATTATCTAGTTCGGGATTCTTTGATGATTAGAAAGTTCAAAAGAACGACATTATAAATGTCTTTACTGTCACTTTTGATCAATTTAACATCTCCTTGCTGAATAACAACATTAATTTCTCTATATATACACTCACATACATGAAAAAGCTGATGCTTTTGGAAGAGCAGCACATGTTGAACAGGCGGACAGATTTGCTGTAAAACTCTCTCGCCCACTCACTCACTCTCACACAAACGTCCTATTCCAAGTTTCGTCACCTCTTTATTTTTCCTGTCAGATTCAGCCTACTGCTCACAGTTGATCCGAGCTGCACTTTTAAACACCCACAGAGTGACAATTACTCATGAGGCGTCCACTGAGCTGTAAAACTCAGATATTGACATCTACATACTGTAGTACAGCTAAAACATTACACGCTTTATGTGTCAGATTTCATGACCGCATAAAAAATTAATAAGACAATAAATTGGGATTTGAGCAAACACCTAAAATGAGGAAAAGGAATAGTTCCCCCAAAAATGTGGAACTGCTGAAAATGTCCTCATCCTCGGGTCATCCAAAATGTAGATGAGTTTGTTTCTTCATCAGATTTGGAGAAATGTAGCATTACATCACTTGCTCAGCCATGGATGCTCTGCAGTGAATGGGTGCCGTCAGAATGAGAGTCCAAACAGCTGATAAAAACACCACAATATTCCACACAAATCCAGTTAATGTATTAACATCTTGTGAAGCAAAAAGCTGCATGTTTGTAAGAAACAAACTAACTTCAAACCGTTGTCTCCAGCTAAAACAGTCTATAATAACACTTCCTCCAATGAAAAGTCCATCTCCTGTTGACTCTTACATCAAAATCCAGCCATATATTTGTTTAGAACCGTTTTGTAAACAGCGCTTGATCTGTGCATATTTCTCTCCTGATTCAAAGACGACTTTTTCACCAGAGAAAGCGTTATTATGAATATAAGACTCGTATTTTAGCTGGAAGCAAACGGTTTGAAGTCAATGATGGATCTGTTTTTTACAAACATGCAACTTTTTGCTTCACAAGACATTCATTGATGGACTGGAGTGGTGTGGATTATTGTGATGTTTTTATCAGCTGTTTGGACTCTCATTCTGACGGCACCCATTCACTGCAGAGGTGAGCAAGTGATGTAATTGCTCCAAATCTCTTTAGATGAAGAAACAAACTCATGTACATTTTGGACGGCCTGAGAGTGAGTACAACTTCAGCTACTTTTCTTTCTTGGGTGAACTTTTCACATAGCAAACACCCTAGCAGCTTCGCTTCAGAAAATCTAGTGCTATTTAATAACTTCAAAACCACTGAACCGTTTCCATTAAAAGCTTAATTGCCTGCTACTAATGAACAACATCTGCGTTGAGTGGCGTGTTCTAGTTTTGTCTCAGAGGAGTGGGAGTTATTTAAGTTAAGACATGATTCCAGACGATGGGAAACTCCTACCTTCGTTTTGTCACTTGGATGGACCCCCAGTTCCAGCAACCTGTCAACGATAGACAGACGGCTCTCTCGCACCGCGACCATCAGGAGGCTCAAGCCAGACTCCTGCGGGAGAACAAGGGAACATAGTCAATATTTCACCGCGGAGAGAAATGATTCAGTACTGCGCTTATATTCACAGCTGAAGTGCTTGGATTTCACAAGAGGGAAATCAATATAAATGTTGAACAGATTCAACATACAAATACAAAAAATATTCTTCAAGGTTCTTTTTAGTACAGCATCTTCAACACTGCATAAGCACACAGCTGTACTGATTTTAGGAACCTTTTTGTTTTGCTAAAACACATTACACAGATCCATTGTTTGTGACAAGTTATCTGAAAGTCTGTATTAACACAATACAAGTTCAGACAGTACAAGTATTTCATTATAATTTTTTTTTAATGGTATATAATTACAGTAGTTTCATAATACACACCAGTTACGGTAAATATATTGGTTTGTATTATAATATCCATTGTTTGTGACAAGTTATCTGAAAGTCTGTATTAACACAATACAAGTTCAGACAGTACAAGTATTTCATTATAATTTTTTTTAATGGTATATAATTACAGTAGTTTCATAATACACACCAGTTACGGTAAATATATTGGTTTGTATTATAAAACAGTAAACACCAGAAAATTAAATATGCAACACATGCATACGCATACATACAATAAATGTTTATTGATTGAACATTCCTTTGACTTGAAGAAATAAATAAAAAAAACTAATAAATAAATTAAAAAAAATGGAAATTGAAAAAGACTTCAAATGTAATTAGACTAATTAAAACATTAAATAAATTACTAAACATTTATGTGTATGCATATATAAACACAATAAATGCTTATGAATTTAATATATGTTAATTAGTTACATTTTACAGTAATTCTTTATATATGATGTATTTAATATATTTTAATAATTCAAAATTAATAATACTTTTTTCTAGTTTAATTTTAATACTAGACTAATATACAGACTAATTAAAATGTATTAAATAAATTAAACGTTCATTTTATTAATACATTTTTATTACTACACACACATATATATATATTAGTGTTGTCCAACGATTAATCGCATACAAAATAAAAGTTTTTGTTTACATAATATACAGTATGTGTGTGTACTGTGTATATTTATTATGTATATATAAAGACACACACACAGCATGTTTTGAAAATATTTACATGTATATATTTATATTCATATAATTTATATTACATACAAATATACTAAATATATAAACAGAACATATTTTTCTTGAATATATATACATGCATGTGTGTGTATTTATATATACATAATAGATATACACAGTACACACACACAGACTAGGGATGCACGATATATCGGCCACCATATCGGTATCGGCCGATAAATGTTCATTTTTTCTGTTATCGGTATCGGCCTGATAAGAAAATTTGGCCGATATCTTAAAGCCGATAAATAATGCATTATTTCCTTCAGAGACACTTCAGATGCGCGCTGTTCGTTTGTTATCGGTATCGGCCAAAATTTTCATATCGGTGCATCCCTAACACATACCATGTAAACAACAACTTTTATTTTGGATGCGATTAATCATTTGACAGCACTAATGTATACACACACACACACACACACACACACACACACACACAATAAACGTTATTAATTTAATATAGTTCAATTAAGTTTAATTTTATACACACAATAAACATTTATTAAAATAACAAAAACTGTAATTAAATACTTTTAAAATGTAAAATTTTTATTCTTTTATACATATATATTTTTTTTATTTTCACTCTAAAAATTCTATAACACAGTCATAATAAAATATGATGAATTCAAACATCAATATGTTTTTTTTTTTTTCATAACTGAACTCTGCTTTTAACCATGCAATAAAAAAGCTCCTTCAGTCAGTGCATCTCACCTCGTCGAGCTGGAGGAGCTCCGGATCTCCTTTCTCCAGCGCCTTGAGCTTCTGCTCCAGTGCCATCCAATCTCCCCCGAGGGCCAGAGGCATCAGGCGCTGAGGGGTCCCGGGCACACAGGAGCTGTAGGACATCATACAAGACCACAAAATAACCTCACAGGAACCAAAGCATACGCGTCTGTCAACACCATGACAAAAGCACGTTCATCTAAAAGATCCGCTGCAGGTGCGGGTCTAACGGTTCCTCCCTCTTGGTAGGAGGTATAAAGCGAGCATTCCTCTGTTAAAGTTTGCAAACTCCGCCTTCTGTTACCCTGGATTCAACAAAAAAGACCATTGAAACAACAGAAAAGCGACAGAACAGTAAGAGCTGAAGCTGCCGAAAACAGCCATTCAGCTCGACTTTACCGCTGCTGCTGTTGTTTAACGTTACCTCAGAATCAACATCGACGTTTTTAATGCTAAAATATAATTACTCAATCTCTATTTACGGGTGAAATCGGGTCCATCTGCAATGGAAATGTGTTTTCGCTTGACCACATAACGTTTAATTTGGTCTAGCATGGTAAATTTAACAAAATAAATCTAAGGTATTTTAAACGCGCTCGTTTTTAACTGAACTGCAGACGCAGCGCTCGCGAGCGGCACCACGTGACCAACCAATCAGAGATCACTTTATTAAAATCTAATCAAAGAAAGGATTTTACCCACATTTTTACGTTTTCATACTACATGTAGAAATTAATATATTTTTATTTCGGACGTTTTCGCACGCTGCATTATTCGGCAGCCGCGTACGCTTCTCGCGTAACGTTACGTGAAAACGCACCTGTGACGCGTAACGTTACGCAAAAATCAACGCAAGCCAGTAAAGTTAGGCTAAATGCATGGTTGTCACTAATCTCGAGGCTAAATGTATTACCAGTCAGTTTTATAATTACGTTGTTAACATTATTGTCTCTTTAAAAGTGTTGTTGCATAATGTTAGTGCACAGAATAAATACTAAAAATGGTAAGTACGTAAATTTTTGCTGTTCTCATTGCATTTACACGGCTTTAACCAGTAGATGTCCTCAGCCTGCTGGGTTTCCATTGGCCTCGCTTCTCCCAGCACTGCTTGCATTTCCTCAACCTGTTAGTAATAACAGGACTGCTCGTTTTTATAATTTCATAATATAGATAATCTAATAAAATACATTAGTATTCCTATTATTATTATGAGTCGCATTAATATTAATAATTAGTAATTTGGATTAGAATACGTAAATCGCGATTTCTGATCCATCAAACGAGGACTTTTAGTACAAAATCTGGAGACTTTTATTATAGAAATCGACATGAACCGGAAGTCAGCCACTGTCGGTCTCTGGTCTGTTTACTTCAGCCGCTGCTGAATCCGCTTGATTACAAGTGCGTATTTGAGTTTAATTACTTGTTAGTTATAATTCTGTGTGACATGTATTTCCGTTAATTAAGTGGATGGATGTCAATTCATGCATTACAATATTCCGTGCATGATGCTGAGTGAATGGAGCTTGAAAGTGTGATATTATCTTTCAAGGTTATTCTTTGTTTGAAAGCATAGTCAACATTTTAAAAACTTATTTAAGTACAGTTTAATATATAGCTAATATATACCTTTTAATGTATAATTGATTTTAATAAAGATATCTGAGTAGGTGACATTTCAATCAGTGACAACTGAGCCAAAATAACGATATTTATTATCACATCTATTATATCTAAACCCATTTAAACTGCATATATGTACAGTTTTAGCATAATTTCTGTTATTTTTCATAAATCTTTGATGTGCTTAATCTATGCATCTATAATGTTAATGCATTAATAATTTCATGCTTTGTTGCAACACAGCATTTAGAGAGAGTTTTAGATATGATAATATGTATGCTAATAAAGATATGATATATATTATAATATGATAGCATGTCAGATTGGCTTTGTTGTCATATATATAAACTCTAATAAAAATCATGTTTTTATTATTTTAATGAACAGTAGCTTTTTTTTTTTACCTAATCAAAATAACCAAACTGCAGTTTGATTGAGATTAATTGGAATGCACAATATAAAACATGATTACCTGTTTTTGCAAATTAAATCTACATTTATTCATATATATATATATATATATTATATGGTTAATGTGTGTTTTCACTATTCACTCAAATGTTGTTATTAAACAATTGTATTAAATAAATAAAAATAGATAAAATAAACTTTTTCTTGTTGTTTTATCATGATTTTTGTACTATGATATATGGCATGAAATTAAGACTGCAGCAATTACACCATTAACTACTTCTATTTTTCATAATTTTTTGCAGTGAAGGTCTGATGTGGCCTCAGTCTTCTCAGCACAGACTGGCCACAATGTCTCTGAGATGCTGTCAGAAGATGTTACTGAGACTCTATGGTGGCTCTCTGTCCACTGTGAAGAGCTGCATGTGTTTGAGACGCTACACTAGAGCAGCTCAGAGTCACAGGAGGGTGGTGATCACTGGCATCGGGCTCGTTTCTCCCCTCGGGACAGGAAGTGCTCTGCCCTGGCAGCGTCTGATTGGTGGAGAAAGCGGCTTGGTTGCTCTGGACCCAGAAGAGTATAAGACTGTCCCCTGTAAGGTGGCGGCCCGTGTGCCGCGAGGAGATAAACCTGGAGATTTCAACGAAGAGGCATTTGCGTCCAAAGGAGAGATCAACGGCATGTCTCCAGCCACGGTTATGGCCGTCGGTGCCGCTCAATTGGCTCTTGAGGATTGCGGATGGTTTCCCAGAAGCCCAGAGGAGCAGCTGAGCACCGGTGTGGCGGTCGGGATGGGTATGGTGTCTCTGGAGGAAATCGCTCGGATGGCCTCGGCCTTTCAAACACGCGGTTACAGCAAAGTCAGTCCATTTTTCGTCCCTCGCATCCTGGTCAACATGGCCGCAGGACACATAAGCATCAAACACAAACTCAAGGGTCCCAATCACGCCGTGTCCACCGCATGCACCACGGGAGCTCACGCTGTCGGCGACGCTGCCCGTTTCATCGCTCACGGTGACGCCGAGGTGATGCTCGCCGGCGGGACGGAGGCCTGCGTCAGTCCGCTGTCCATCGCCGGGTTCGCTCGCGCTCGGGCCCTCAGCACCAACTGGAACCAGGAGCCCAGACTCGCCTCGCGCCCGTTTCATCCAGACAGAGAGGGGTTTGTGATGGGAGAAGGGGCAGCCGTGCTCGTTTTAGAGGAGTACAGACATGCAGAGAAGAGGGGTGCGCGGGTGTACGCAGAGGTGCTGGGATATGGGCTCTCTGGAGACGCCAGCCACATCACGGCTCCAACCGCAGATGGAGACGGAGCCTTCCGGTAAACCTGTTTTGCCCAATAGCATAGAAAATAAACCCGACACTATTTTGATTGCAACGTAACACCGCACAAATTATATAAAACCTTATTTGAAGACAGATAGGGTTATTATCTAAAACTAGAACCATAAAAATACATTTTCATTTCTTGAAATAAAACAAATGGTAACCGAAATCATATATAATAAACTTCAACTTATTTTATTAGCTTAAGTTGAAATACTAAAACAACTAAGACTAAATAATAAACTAATAAAGAAAATTAATACTATAGAGACTATATATGTCATAGATTTAGATTTTTTTTTTAAACTAATAAAATGACAATTACTAAAAAAAAAAACAGTAAATGCTAACATAAAATCTAATTCAATATTTTAAGAAAATATATTATTGGGTATCAATGATACTAAACTTAAACTGATGATAGACAATCAAGAACATGGAAAAAATATTAAACAGAAAAGAAAAAGCACATAGTTCAAATAGTACTTTGTATATTTGTTGGGGGGGAAGTAATGTGCAAAGTTGATTGATCATAAATTAAAATTTTTTAAAACAGAATTTCTACATTTAATTTTCTTTTAATATATACTTAAAGTTAAAATACTTTGTAATGGAATTATTAAATTATGGAATAGAATAAATGATAGAATCTGCAATTATAGTTTATCAAAGGATTAAAAAAAACGATCAAATACTTAAAGTTTAAGAGACTGTGTGTATAATATATAAAATAATGGCATACAGCCCTTTACGTACACTTATTAGTATACAAGTAAACACTTTTTTCGTAACCTAGACTTTTTTTTTATTGCAACATAGCAGAAATCATATATAACATTGTTTGGTAACAGGCATTACAGAACATTATATATTAATCCGAAAAGAAAAAAACAAAAACATGGATAGTACAAATATAAGACACCGTTCAAAGAGGTTACACATACTTTTGCTATTGTTAAAAAAGTACTGCGCATTTTGATTAATCAAAAATAAAATATTTTCACATTTGTTATTACATTTAATTTTAATGCATACTTAATTTTAGGGTTTTATTAAATATATGTAGGCAGTTGACATTTCAAACGTGATGACATTTGTATGCGTAGATATTGTTTTATTTCATATGCTTAGACCCGACTCGATGCATGCTTTGCAAGATTCCCCTTTCTGTCAAACATATTTTATTGAACCGTCTCGCTTTTAATGTATGTAGAAAACTCTTTTATGAAGTGAACTCACTTAAAAAGTTTAGTATAATTTTGGCAAAAAAAGTTTTAGAATTTTTCATGTTAATGTAAAAAATCTTGTGTAATATAACGTGTATATAATGTGTTTTTTATTGTATTTGTTATACTTGTATTTTTTTTGCCATGTAAATAACCTAAGAGATGCTGACATGGCATTAAATAAAAATATACTACTGCTAGAATTTCATATGCTTAGATATAATTGTAGGGATCATCCAGTAGTGAATTATGCAGCTTCTCCTGCTGTGTTTCAGGTGCATGGCTGCTGCTCTCCGTGATGCTGGAGTGTCTCCTTCAGACGTGATGTATGTCAATGCTCACGCCACCTCCACGCCACTCGGGGACGCCGCGGAGAACGCCGCCATTAAGAGACTGTTTGAGCAGCATGCGTACTCACTGGCCGTGTCCTCCACTAAAGGAGCGAGCGGTCATCTGCTGGGAGCCGCCGGAGCGCTGGAGGCCGCCTTCACTGCCCTCGCCTGTCACCACAGCATCCTGCTGCCCACCCTCAACCTGGACCGCACCGAGCCAGAGTTTGACCTGAACTATGTGCCCTGCACAGCGCAGACCTGGAGCTCCAGCGGACGCAGAGTCGCTCTCACCAACTCATTCGGCTTCGGGGGAACAAACGCTTCTCTGTGTCTCGCGAGTGTGTGATCACTGTAATGCAGATGGATGATTTCGGTTCAAATCCACTGGTATTTCATTAAGTGGAAGTTGCAGTAGTCTTTTCTTCCCTATTGTGACGTTTATTGTATTGGAGTGAAACAGATTCTGGAACAAGAGTGAGTGTAGTGAGTAATTGATTGGATGGTTGTGGTTTGCTATTGATGAATCACAGCGGCGGAGGGGTGGGAGAAATATCACCGATCGTCACATGCTGAACAACAGTGGAGAAGTAAATATTGCTGTTCTCTAGGTATCCATGTCTGTACCAGATGACATCTCATTATTGCTATGAAAAATAATGCTCAGAAGAACATTTCACTCTAGCTAAATGCTGCGTCTCCTAAGCATTTATTTTCAGCTGGCTAAAAATGCTTTGACACACAGCCTGAGAGTGTAAATTCATTGATTGGAATTGACAGGTGTGATGATCAGAGGGGCTGAGTTTCTACCATTAAAGCTCAAGGATGGACCAAAAGCTGGATAGAGTTTGCCAGTAAAAGACTGACCAGTAAAAGAGTAGATATGGGAGCTGGACTCCACATCATAAAAGGAGACCAGTCCCTTCTCATAATCCACAAACACACCGATGCGCTGCAGCCTCACTCTTAGAGCCAGAGGGACAGAGGGACTAGAGAGAGCTGCATACTGATTCTTATTTCTCAGCCACAGAGTCCAGAATCCATCCTCAGGACTCAGTGTGATCTTTCCCTTCCTTTTAATGGATTCTCTGGCCACTCCTAATTCCCATTCAGTCTTTCCCTTCACCTGCACCTCAAAATAAAACTTCCCTGAGGAGAATCCCTCCTCTGCCAAGACATTTGGACAGTAAGTAAATCTCTTTGGGCTATATGGGAGCTTTTGTTTAATGTCTCCACATCTCACTTGTTTTCCATCATAAGACAGGATGAGATCAGGATGAGCTGTGTCAGGATCCAGAGTCACATCCACTGAGAAAACAAAGAATATGAATCACAACTTTACTGTAGACAGATTTTGAGTTTATGATTAGGATTATGACAGGTTAAAGTGCCCCTATTATGCCTTTTCAGATATTACCTTTCATGTAGTGTTTAATAAAGCTGTTTGTGAATGTAAAAGGTCTGCAAAGATCAAAGTGCACAATAAGAGTTATTGTCTATCAAAAGAAAGAACCGATTCTGAACTGCCAAAACGAGTCGTCAGTGAATCAAGTCTTACTTTCTGCACAAAGCCATGTACGTTTCTAACAAATCTGCATACCCTTTTGAAAAAAACAGCATATGTTGGTTAGGTATGTTTTGAAGCATGGCTGCTTGTTTGAGCTGGTTTTAGCTGGTCTTTATCTGGTCATGAGCTGGTCAAGTGCTGGCTTGTCCTGAGCAGGAGCTAGTTGCTTAGGACCAGCTCAAACCAGCTCAAACCAGCAGCCATGCTTCAGAACATACCTAACCAGTATATGCTGGTTTTTTCAACAGGGTAATGCCAGCATGTGGTCTTCAGATTGGCTGCCCATGAACAACATCTACTTTGACCCTCAAATACATGTCGACACTTTTCTGGGTGTCAAAGCAAATCTACTTTACATGCACTTCCAAAGGATGAGTACTCGAATTGATAAAACCACCATCATCATTACTGTTTGTATCACTGTGTTTATGCGTGCTGAGGAAGCATCAGAAGCTGAAACTTAGCTGGTCATGTGCTGTTCCTAAGCTGGTCCTGAGCAGGAGCTAGTTGCTTAGGACCAGCTAAGGACCAGCTTAAATCAGCTCAAACCAGCAGCCATGCTTCAGAACATACCTAACCAGTATATGCTGGTTTTTTCAACAGGGTAATGCCAGCATGTGGTCTTCAGATTGGCTGCCCATGAACAACATCTACTTTGACCCTCAAATACATGTCGACACTTTTCTGGGTGTCAAAGCAAATCTACTTTACATGCACTTCCAAAGGATGAGTACTCGAATTGATAAAACCACCATCATCATTACTGTTTGTATCACTGTGTTTATGCGTGCTGAGGAAGCATCAGAAGCTGAAATTCAGTTATGGTAATTGGCTTTTTGTTTCTGACACCAGACCAATCACAACAGCCTGGGTCATCTGACTAATCAGAGCAGAGTAGGCTCAAAAAAATGAAGAGTTTAGAGTCACCGGATGGCTGAACAAACCATTTCAGACACTGTGAGAAAAGCACTGATGCTGGAATGTATATTATGAGATTTGGCCTTGGTTGGATGTAGACCTATTGTAGGGGACTTCCAAAACAAAATGAGGAACCTTTAAAATGGCACAATAGGGGCATTTTAATATTTGATTCAGTTTCTAATCAGACTGTAGTACAAAAATAAAGCTCTATTGAAATGTACAAATAAAATAAAGCTGTATGAATGTAAAATGAGTAGAGCAGACATCACTGTACCTGCATACTGCTGCATCCACTTCAGCTCTGTAGAGACTAATGACATTAAAACATCATGAGATCTTTGAAATGTTTATGTATGAACATAAAGACATGTTTAAAGAACTGTGTACAAAACTTTTTATTTGATCAGTCTCTTTAACAAAGATGAACAAAATGAAAAACAATTAAAGCCCAACCCAGCCTAGCTGCTGTTTTGAGATGCAGGCCTGAAATTGCACACACACACACACACACACAACCTACATCTATCTTTGTGAGGACATTCACTGCCACAATGCAATCTCCAGCTCCTTACCCTAACCCTACCCATCAGAACTAAGTGCCTCACCCAAACCCTTACCCTAAACCTAACTTTTACCAAATTATAACCTGATCCCTAAAACAAAGTCTTGACCCTCAAACAGGCCTTTAAAGGGGTCTCAGAAATTGAGGACCATCCAAAATGTTCTCACTTTACTCTCTTTGTCATCACTCCGATGGTCTAAAACTCAAACTCGTCCTCACAAAGATAGCTGTACAAGTACACACACACACACACACATACACACACATCCTTCCTCTCACAAAGAACAAATTTGCTTGATGTCCATCAGTTTGATTGTCTGGTGAAATATTTAAAATTCTGAGCTGCTAAGATGGATCTGCACACAATTGTTCATAGATACTCTTAGAAAATGTATTCACAAAATATTAATGAAACAGCTGAAAGGTAAAACAATAGAACACAGAGTGAATATAAATTAATGTTTCTCTTTGTAGTTTCTCCTCCATGCATGGTTTCTGAAATGAATAGGTATTAACAATTGCTGATAATGAGCCACGAACACGTTCACATACTTGTATTTCAGCTTGAACCTGATTTATTCTATATTAATGACATTAAATTATGATAAATATATGTACCGGTCTGTGTGAATTTCTCATCTATAGTGTCCTGCAGTTGAGTCAGAGCTCTCCTCAGAGTCTCCAGACTCTCATGAGTCTCCACACTGATCTCAGGCCAGTTCCTGGTGTTTCTAGGGCTGCACAGGGACGAGTAAACCTACAGCAGGAGAGAGGAGAAACCCTTCAGCACGGGGAGTGTCATACTGCATTATCATTGATCAGAGAGATGTTGACTGACCTGTAGGAGATGGAGGTGATCTTCAGTGTGTGAGAGCTGCTCCAGCTCAGTGCTTTTCAACGTTAGCTCACTGATCTCCTGCTCCAGCTCTTCAATGAGCTCTTCCTCCTGTTTCCCTGCTGTTTTCTGCTGCTCGTCCACCGTCTCCAGCAGTTCAGTCTGACATCTCTCAATGGAGCGGATGAGATCAGTGAAGAACTCAACACGAGCTGCTTTCTCCATCTCTGTGCTTCTCTGGTGAACCAGGTCAAGTCATTTTAGGGGAATTTAAAATGTGCTCAAAGAAAGTATTAAACTGTGTCTTGCACTGAATGATTCCTCAAATCATGCAAGATTTTGGATCGCCATCATTGGGGAACACATATTCACAACAAATTATTAGTGGTGTTTGCTAAGGCAAGAATTAGTGTTACTATTGCTCATACCGTCAATTTTAGGGGACGTTAAAATGTGCTCAAAGAAAGTATTAAACTGTGTCTTGCACTGAATGATTCCTCAAATCATGCAAGATTTTGGATCGCCATCATTGGGGAACACATATTCACGATTAACACTAGTAAACTCCTAATTACTGCTTATTGATAGGAACCAGTTGTTAGGTCTAGAATATGGTAAGGCAGAAAGAGTGACTGTAAAATCCCCAGACTATAGCGGAATGATACAAAAAGTGAAAACAAGTACCGGTACTGTTGGACTGTATATCAGGACTCTTGAAGAACTGGAACTATCGTAGTCAACATTTGAATTGGATCAAAAAAGTTAATCATCAACGCATTTTGCTTTTAGGACAACTTTGATGAAAGGTTTTGATCCACTTCAAATGTTGACTAGTGTATATTAAATTGAATTCAATTATTTTCAGCTCACTTTTCTGGCTTCTGCTGAGTGTTTGATGTCTTGAATCTTCTTGATTCTGTTCTGGATCATCTGCTGTACTTCATCTTGAATCTTCATCTATAGACATAGACCAACACAGACACGTTTATAACAGACATTTAACCCTCTGGGGTCGAGGGTGTTTTGGGGCCTGGAAAAGTTTTGACATGCCCTGATGATACACGGGGCAACTTTTTTGAGCAATGTTGCTTGGGCATTGTTGCCGTCAACAGCAACAAATTTCTGTCTGGATACTTTAGAACGGTTGTGGGCCTTGTGTCTCACCTGGTTGCCCGTTGACGGCAACACTGCCCAGCAACATGGCTCAAATTTTTTGAGCAATGTTGCTTGGGCATTGTTGCCGTCAACAGCAACAAATTTCTGTCTGGATACTTTAGATCGGTTGTGGGCCTTGTGTCTCACCTGGTTGCCCGTTGACGGCAACACTGCCCAGCAACATGGCTCAAAAAGTTGCCCTATGTATCATCACTTTTACTGTTTTCGGAGGAAACTTATGTTCACAAAATGTTTTACAAGATTAAATAAAAATCTGATTCCTCATGATATGAACCATTTAAAAGCAGTTTTGTTCAAATCGTCTACCTTCTGCTCTTCACTCTCCTTTTCTAGAGGAACAGTGTTGTGGTTCTTGTGGTCTGTCAGAGCACACATGGGACACACACATGTCCGATCATCTCTACAGAACAGCTCCAGAGGCCTCTCGTGTTTCTGACATATATAGTCCTCCAGATTACTCACAGGATTCATCAGTTTGTGTTTCTTTAAACCTGCCACTTTCAAATGAGGCTCCAGGTGAGCTTCACAGTAAGAGCTCTGACACACCAGACACGACTTCAGGGCTTTCAGCTTTCTTTCCTCACAGAAGTCACACAGAACTTCGTTTGTTTCCTCAGGACTTTTCTTTTTATAGTGATCAGCAACCTCTCGGAGTGTGGTATTGATCTTGAGATCGGGTCTTTGGTTGAATGTTTCTTTACAGTATGGACAGTTGCAGGTCTGACTGTTGTCCCAGTACTTATTCAGACAGGTCTTGCAGAAGTTGTGTCCACATGGAGCGGTGACCGGATCAGTGAACGCATCCAGACATATAGAGCACTGAAGCTCCTCAGTCAGTGGACCACTGGAGGATGACATTGCTGGAAAGATAAATGATGAACATTAATGATTTATATTCCTGAACAGTTGAAGTTAAATACTTCACATACACCTCCCAAGTGAGGAAAGTTTATTTCAGTAAAATCTTACAGTACCTCAAAAGTCAGATTTTTACAATTTGAGGCAAACATGGTTGGCAATAAAGGGATCGTTTACACTAAAACGAAAATTCTGTCATCTTATACTTACCCTCATGTCATTACAAATGATATGAACCATTTAAAAGCAGTTTTGTTCAAATCGTCTACCTTCTGCTCTTCACTCTCCTTTTCTAGAGGAACAGTGTTGTGGTTCTTGTGGTCTGTCAGAGCACACATGGGACACACACATGTCCGATCATCTCTACAGAACAGCTCCAGAGGCCTCTCGTGTTTCTGACATATATAGTCCTCCAGATTACTCACAGGATTCATCAGTTTGTGTTTCTTCAAACCTGCCACTTTCAAATGAGGCTCCAGGTGAGTTTCACAGTAAGAGCTCTGACACACCAGACACGACTTCAGGGCTTTCAGCTTTCTTTCCTCACAGAAGTCACACAGAACTTCGTTTGTTTCCTCAGGACTTTTCTTTTTATAGTGATCAGCAACCTCTCGGAGTGTGGTATTGATCTTGAGATCGGGTCTTTGGTTGAATGTTTCTTTACAGTATGGACAGTTGCAGGTCTGACTGTTGTCCCAGTACTTATTCAGACAGGTCTTGCAGAAGTTGTGTCCACATGGAGCGGTGACCGGATCAGTGAACGCATCCAGACATATAGAGCACTGAAGCTCCTCAGTCAGTGGACCACTGGAGGATGACATTGCTGGAAAGATAAATGATGAACATTAATGATTTATATTCCTGAACAGTTGAAGTTAAATACTTCACATACACCTCCCAAGTGAGGAAAGTTTATTTCAGTAAAATCTTACAGTACCTCAAAAGTCAGATTTTTACAATTTGAGGCAAACATGGTTGGCAATAAAGGGATCGTTTACACTAAAACGAAAATTCTGTCATCTTATACTTACCCTCATGTCATTACAAACCCATAAGACTTTAGTTAATCTTCAAAACATATTACATACACATTTCTAATGAAATCTGAGAGATTTCTGCCCCTCCATTGAAAGTCTGATGATTCATAATGTTCGTAAAGAGATCCAAAAATAAATCAATATGAATTAAGTGGTTTAATTCAATTCTTATGAAGAGACAATTGCTTTATATGATGAACAGATGTAATTTAGGCATTTATTCACTTTTTTTTTAAATCTGTTTATGAATGTTTTAAAGCGTCAGAGTTTTGGTTGAATAGACTTTCAATGGAATTAAAAAAAACTTATTTTATGTTCTGAAGAACTAGCTTTGTACAGGTTTGGAATGACATGAGGGTGATTAATTTATAACAGAATTTTCATTTTTGATTGAACTAACCCCAGCTTTAATATTCATTGCATTATCTCACATCAGCAAATTTCAAATAGCTCAGTATCATTAGTTACAAACAAATAATGAATTAATGTCTTGCATATCGCTCTACACTGAACTTACAGATTTTCACTTTTTCCAACATAAAATCCCATCATCAATATTCATAACACTGTACAGGAATATTCATATCATGTACACACTGATATGGACAAAAAACTACGTCTATTTATTTTTTTTAAATCTCACACAAAAATGCCATTTTTCCCAAAATAAGTTTTTGTGAAAAGTGGGGACATCCCATAGGCGTAATGGTTTTTATACTGTACAGACCGTATATTCTATTGCCCTACACCAACCCTACCCCTAAACCTCCCCCTCACAGGAGACTTTCTGCTATTTCAGATTTTCAGTACACTCCATTCTGTGTGATTTATAAGCGTTTTGAAAAGTGGGGACATGGGGTAATGTCCTGAAAAGTCACCTTCTCCTTGTAATACCTGTCATACCTTTGTCATTATACAAATTTATGTCCTCATTTGTCACAAAAACACACACACACACACACACATTCTGTAATTAACCTGAAGGATAAAACCTAAAGGATAGAGAGGTTGATGTAGACATGAAATATGTATGAACTCACTAAACAAGCATGCTGTTGCAGGTCAGGAACGGACACATAAAGCGCATCACAGACAATGACATCCAGTCTTTGGTTCTGGAGGTGGAGGGGACGAATGTGAGGTGAGTGTGTCCCCGACCCGTCCATCTGTCTGACACTGAACACACACACATCATGATCAGACCTGACCCGTGTGTGTGTGTGTGTCTGATCTCCACAGCACCACCTACATCACGTGTCCCGCCGACCCCAAGAAAACCCTCGGCATCAAACTGCCCTTCCTCGTCATGATCATCAAGAACCTCAAGAAGTATTTCACGTTCGAAGTTCAGGTAGAGAACTGGTTTCTTCAGACAATTCAGAGATGATTAGCCATGTCAGAAATGTGTGAATGTGTGATGCGCTTCAGGTACTGGACGATAAGAACGTGCGGCGGAGGTTCAGGGCGAGTAACTATCAGAGCACGACCCGCGTGAAGCCCTTCATCTGCACGATGCCCATGCGGCTGGACGACGGCTGGAATCAGATCCAGTTTAACCTTTCAGACTTCACACGCCGGGCGTACGGCACCAACTACATCGAGACGCTGAGAGTGCAGGTGAGAGACTGATCCAACCCATTTCAC